GGGACGCGAACGCCCGGGACGAGCTGATGGCTCCCACGGTTGGGGCCGGCTACTACACGGCACTGACGCTGGCGTTGTTTGCGGACCTCGGCTACTACCGCGCAAATTGGAGCATGGCGGAGCCGATGGGCTGGGGCAAGGGCGCCGGCTGCGAGTTCCTGGACAAGAAGTGCACTGCGATAAAGGACCTCGCCGCCAAGTACCCGCACATGTTCTGCGATGGGAAGGACGCAGCGACGCTCCGCTGCTCCTCTGACCGCCGCCACCTCGGGAGGTGCACCAAAGGCATCGTGGACGTGGAGGGGAGCGTGCACTTTAAGGACGTGTGCCCTGTTGTCTCGACGTATTTTCATGATTCAACTTCTGGGACAACGTCCAACGCGTGCGCGGACGCAAGTGTGAAGGATCTCCCGGGGTCGCTGACTGGCAGTGGCTCGTGGTGCCTGGACGCGGAAGCGCTGAAGGTGAAAACGAAGGCCGATGCGAAACTCGCGGGCGTGTGCGCGCAGGTGCTGTGCGAGGGCGGCGCGGTGAAGGTGAAGTACAGCGGCAGCGACGCGTATGTGGCGTGCCCCGAGAAAGGCGTAATTGATGTTAAGTCAAGTGATTTCGAGGACGGCGGCAAGATCAAGTGCCCGAGGTACGAGGAGGTGTGCACCATCGCCGCCAACGGCAGCAGCCTCGTCATTCCGCACGTTGAGGAGGAGGAGGAGATTCCACCGGCTGCTCCTGAACAGTCACCTCCTGAACAGTCACCTCCTGAACAGTTGCCTCCTGAACAGTTGCCTCCTGAACAGTTGCCTCCTGAACAGTTGCCTCCTGAACAGTCGCCTCCTGAACAGTCACAACCCGTTGGAAACGATGTGAGTTCGGCTGTGGACTTCAGTCACTTTGTGCTTTTCGCCGTGGTCACTGCGGCGGCTGCGGCGATGCTGCCGCCTTGAGCTGCAGCAGGAACGGCGGCTGGGCGCAGGCAATGCGTGGCGGGGAAGTAGTGTTTATATATTTGTATACGTTTAGCTACGCACCTCCGTCCCCGCGGAGTGCCGCACTCGGCCCGCAATAAAGCAGTGGCAATGTTATATGCGGAATGTACTGTTTACTCTGTCTTTTTTTTTCAGTTGCGCATAATAAGAATTCTTGCCTTGTTTTGCTACTCAGTGGCAGCAGAGCAGATATATCTGCGTATTGGGCTGGCGTTATTTCCGTGAAAAAATGTGGGGAAAAAATACACTGGGAGGAGCCGATGGATCCCGGGTTCGCCCGAGTGTAGGCGCGGCTGTTGCCGCAGACGGGAGAAGGGGAAATCCCTGCACTTTGCAGGCGGCGAGGACGGGTCTGGGACGGTTCCGCTGAGTGACAGGAATGAGGCTGCCGTTGCTGCCGCATTCAATACTACTGGGCTTCTTTTTTTGTCTGTTTGTTTTTCTTTTTTTACTGTCCTGTGCTCTTGCTCCGCTCTCTGTTTGTGTGCCTGTTGCGGGGGTTGGGGCGTCGACAAGCATCTTTGCGAGGGGCGCCAGCGCGTGCCCCCTGCTTTTCTTTAAAAAAGACTTCTCTCCGTTTTTCGTATTTGCGCTTGGTTGGTTTTGTGCGGTAGTGTGCGTTGCGAGCGCTCTGCCGCACGGTGGGTGGGCTGCGGTGCTGCCCTCTGTCCCCGCCGCCGTGGCAGTGAGGGCGGCGTGGGGGCTGCAGCCGCTGCTGTGGGCTGAGCTGCTGTTCGCTCCGCGTCGGTGGCGGGCGGCGCAGAGGGAGGCGCCCCACGCGGGAGGAGGCGGGTGCGTGCGGGAGGGCCATGGGAGGCGTGCCGTGGCGGGCGGCAGAGGAGGGCGAGGGAGGGCAGTGGAAGTTTTGGAAGCGCTGGCGGCTGCGGTTTTCATGCGATTTTGGTTCTTTTGGAAGGTCGCACTGCCGCGCCGCGTCCAACTCGAGCTCTTCAGCCTTTTATTTCCGTTGCGCGTCTGCAGGCACACACGCAACCGCGTGCGCGCGGGGCTCCTTTCGTGGTCGGCGCTGCCGCTGCCGTTTCCTTCCGGGGCCGCGGAAGCGGGGGGGAGGGGGACGCCAAGGGCGGGGGAGCGCCCCGCGGCCGAGTCCCGCCTTCTCTTCCGCGCGTGTGGCGGTGCGGTGTGCGCCCCGGCGCTCCTCGCGCTGCTCTGCGCCTGTTGCTGCCCCTCCGCGTGCGTCGCGGCGGCCGAGGAGGAGGTGGATGTGCCGGTGGATGTCTCGTGTGCGGACGCTGTCGGCAAGCTAAGTTGGCGTGTCCCCGGCGAGAGTGCCTGGCAGAAGTGCGCATTCACCGTGAATGAGTCTTTCAGGAGGAGTGGGGCCATTTACAACGATAATGACTCCCTCTGCGCCTGGGCCGGGACTCTGTACGGCTCCGCCGCGTCGCCCAACGGTCGCTGCTCTGCAGCCGCGGCGAAAGAAGTACTTGCCTTCACGTTGCAGTGCAAGACGAAGGAAAGCAGTGGGGTGTACAGGCGGTGGCTCAAGGCAAATGACGGGGCCTTGGGCGCGCCGACGACGGACCCGAGCGGCGAGCCCCCTGGCGTTTTGCACAGCTGCAACACACGTGCGCCCAGCGGAGGCGCGCCCGAAGAGGAGCCGGAATCTCCTCCCGCCGGGGTCGAGCCACCAGAGGCTCCCGGTGGGAAGCCAAACGGCGGAAGCACTGAGGAAGGCGGAAAAGAAAACTTGGCCGGCAGCGACGTCGCCACTGTGTGCATGCGCGCTGCTTCGCTGCTGCTGCTCGTGACGGCCCTCGCCGCCCACGGCACGTGGTGAGGATCCACCGCGCACGCTGTGCGTCTCACGGGCCGCCCAAATGTAGGACGGGGCCGGCGACGCCACGAGGCACAAATGTGATGCGTCGCCCTGCGGTGGGACGGTCTTTTTTTGTTCCTTTTTTTGTTTTTGTTTTTGTTTCTTTCATGGGTGCAGCGACATTTGCTGGAAGAATTTTGCTTTTCTTTTTTTCTTCATTATATTTCCCGTGGCTTGCCGCTGCGTGGGCCGCGCTGCGGTCTCTGGCCTGAGTTGTGCCCTGCCTGTTCCGCTCCGCGTCCCTGCTGTGCCTGCGCGTGTGCTCCCGCATGCCTTCCTGCTCTTCCCTTCTCTTTCCGTTGCGCGTCTGCAGGCACACACGCAACCGCGTGCGCGCGGGGCTCCTTTCGTGGTCGGCGCTGCCGCTGCCGTTTCCTTCCGGGGCCGCGGAAGCGGGGAGGAGGGGGACGCCAAGGGCGGGGGAGCGCCCCGCGGCCGAGTCCCGCCTTCTCTTCCGCGCGTGTGGCGGTGCGGTGCGAGTGCGCGGAACACCGTCCATCGCGGCCTGCCCTGCGGCGCGGTGCCGGCCGGTGAGGGCAGGGCCGCGGCAGGCTGTGCGGCGGACTTTGCAAGTGCCCCGTCCCCCTCGCTACGGCTGCGGGTGTGCGCTGTGCCCGTGGCTCGCCTGCGGGGCGGCCTGGGCGTTGCTGCCCCTGCTTTCTGTGCCGGGTGTGCGTTGCGCCTCACTCCCTCTGCTTCCTTGCGGGCGCAGCGCGGTTGCGCTTGGGGCGGCGGCGGCGGTGGTGCCACTGCGCTGCTTCGTTTTGGCTTTTTCTTTTTACTTATTATTATTATTATTATTTTTTTTACTCCGCGCCCCACTCCTGCTGCACTGTGCTGGGGGAAATGGGGCCGGCGTTGGGCGATTTGCGGTGGGGCCTGCGACGGCAAGGTCCTGCGGGCATGCGCGCTGCGTGTCGCCGCCGGAGGGGCTAAAAGGCGGCACGCGATTTGTGTTTGTGGTTTTTGTTGTTGTTTTGCTTGATTTCTGCGCTCTGCGGGGCGCTCCCCGTGCGTGTGTGTGTCTGTGTGTGTTTCTTGGGGCTGCGAGTGCGCGATCGCCGCGGCCCTTCGCTGCGTGCTGCCCCGCTGGGAGCGTTGCGGCCGGCACGTGTGCCTCCTCCTTTTTTTTGTTTTAATTATTTTCCCCCATGCTGCTGTTCCTCCGCTGCACGTGCGGAGCCCCAGCGCCCTCCGAAGGAGATTGCGGCGCAGGCAACTTTCCCTGCGTGCGAGTGCAGCGGAAGTTGGCCCCAGCCCTCTTGCCGGATTCCGTTTCCTCCTCCAAGGCGCGAGGAAGGCGGAAAACCCACGATCTGCGGTTTCCGTGGCGTGCCATGCCGTTGCCAACGGGGTGTATAAGGCCGAGGCAAAAGAATCAAAGCTGGGAAAAGAGCAAAACAATAAAAATAAAGGCGACTGCCTACCACCCAACGGACGAGCGACGCCGTCCACGCGTA